CCTCATGCATGCAAATTTTAAAAAATGTGAAAATGTAATTTGTTCTGGATCATTTACCTTTACCTTAGTAAATTATGTAAATTACATAGAGAAATGACATTAGAAAGAAGTACACTAAGGTGTGCACTATGTTTGCAAAGAGCAGCACTGTCTAACTGACACATAGACCACTGTCCTGGACTTTTTTATATACCTTTGAGAACATGTCCATAAGCTTGAATGTCAAAGCTGCCACTGAGAGGTGCAGACGCTGCTTGAATTCTTTGAATACGGATCCTTGACTCCCCTGGCCAATTGTTTCCTCTGTAAACAGACTCATTCTCTGTCTCGTTGGTGATTACCTAATTTCCAAAATAAATATTGATAAAATGATTAAACACAACGATGGCGAAGATGATTTCTATTTCACCATGGTGCAATCCCGTGACAGGACATAAATGAGCCTCACATATTCAGGATTCTTCAGGACATTAAGGAGAGTCACATAAATCAACACAGACCATACCTAGAGAGCTGCAATAATGAGGCCAAAGTCAACTCAGTCATCTGTGCAGCCATCAGCTGGAACCACAGTAATTCCTCATTAATTCAGAGTGTACCCTCCATCACTCAAGGAACAAATATTTATTGAGCAGGGATTCTATTCAAGATACAGTGCTAATCACTGTGGGGAGGCAAAGAAACATGAGATGTGGCCTCGGCTATCGAAAACCTAAAAACCTTTTTGGATAAATGCATACGGCGACTTGAAAACTTAACTAAAAATACAAGAAAGTGAATGATCAGTACAGTGAATGATTCAGACTTGGGAAATATCTGACTAGTGTTGAATGCCAATCAATTCACAAAAGTAACACATGCTATAAAAATTCATAAATTGTAGCTCCAATCATGAAAATGATATCCTCTTGCTTCTGATCCCTCACAGTGATCTGTTACTCTTGTGGAATTTAAAACTATTAGCCCCAATGCCCACAGAGATGATTAAATATAAGTGTCACAAGACCTATGCAAGAATGTTCCTAGCAAGTTTATTGACAATAGCTCCAGACTAGAAATAATGCAGAAGTCCATCAATAGGATAAATAAATTGTGGTATATTCACACCATGGAATACAGTAAAGCAATAAAGAAGAATGAACTTGAGCTACATGCAACGCATGAATTTCACTGTATCAAATAAAAGAAGCTAGGTGCAAAAGAGTACATACTGTATTACTCATTGATATGATAAAAATAAGCAAAACTAATTAATGGTGACAAAAGTCAAAACAGGGTGATCTAGTGGTGAAAAGTAAGTGATCCAATGACAAGAAGAAGGCACAAGGGAGTGTCTTGGGAGCTAATGAGTTCTTTATCTTGATCTGAGTAGTGATTACATGAGAGCATTTACTTTGTAAAATTCATGGAGTTCAGCAAAGTTTCAGGATATAGAATCAACACACAAAAACCAATCACATATCTCTATACAAATGGCAAGCGTGTGGAGATCAAAATTAACAACACAAGGCCATTTACAAATGCTTCAAAGAAAATGGAATACGTGTAAATCTAACAAAACATGTACTGGGGCTGACCTGAAAATTGCAAAATGATGATGAAAATAATCAAAGAAGACCTAGATATGCTGATAAAAGAAAACAAGAAAGACCTAAATAAGTGGAGAGACACACTGTCTTCCTGAATTGCAAGACTCAACATAATAAAGGTGTTAATTCTTTCCAAAAACAATCTAGGTTTAGTGCGATTCTTATCAAAATACCAGCAAGATTTTTGTAGACATAAACAAGCTTATTCCAGATTTTATATGAAAAGACACACGATTTAGGATAGCTTAAAACAATTTTTTACTAAAAGAATAAAGGGAGAGGAGTCACTATACCTAATGTTAAGACACATATAGCTACAGTTTTCAAGAGGCTGATGTTGGTATTGGTGGAAAGATCACTTGGAGCAAAGGAACAGAACAGAGAATCCAGAAACATACTCACACAAATATACCCAACTGATTTTTGACAAAAGGGCAAAAGTAATTTAATGGAGGAAGGATAGCCTTTTCAATAAATGGTGTTGGAGCCATAGGCAAACAAATGAACCTCCACCCTATTAAAAGATATTCAATCTGTATATCAGCTATTTGTAAAGATTAAAGAGAAAGTTTACTAGATCAAAGCTAATGCTTCAGAAATAGAAAAGAAATAGTAACTTGTAAAATTCTAGGCTTACCTGCCCAAAACTGACAGCCATCATGGGTATATTGTAACTGCAGTTATATGAAGTCATGGTGACAGAATATTGGCTTGTCATACTTGACCCATTACTTTTGGTCTGATTCACCTGAAAGTGCTTTAGAAATATCCCTTTGTTTGCTAATGCTGGTAGTCTTCTCTTTGGCATTTCTAAAGAACATAAAGTAAATGGGAAGTAAAATTGCATAGCTTCTGCTGCTGAAGAGAAAACCACCACGCAATAATATCCACATGTCACGGAATAAGCTGTTTAAAATCAAATTTTAGAAAATAGTGGCCTTGGCTATCGAAATAGCCTGGAATATAAAGCTTTACTAGTAAGTCTTCTGACCTGTAGAAAAAGGCAAATAGCTTGTGGTGCTCAGTAAACTTTCACTCCTGGAATATAAAGCTTTACTAGTAAGTCTTCTGACCTATGAGCCTTATCAGATAAAACAAACAAACAAAAAAGTTTTAAATTGTTACTGAAAAGCCACCACGCCCTGGGGTCCATGTAGCCTTCTGTGGGCCAGTTAGCTCTGCTCTGTTCCAGGTGCCACTCACTAGGACATGTGCCCCATGAGGGCAGGACCAGGATTGTCTTGTTCACTGTTCTTTCTTTAGTGCCCAACACAGTGCCTGCCACACGGTAGGTACTAAATAAACTCTAACAAACTACAACATCGATCCCAGCACAAATCAGCTATCTTACTAGTATACATGTGTTCCTCCAATTATAATGTAGATTTAATTACAGCAATTTCAAAAGGAGCTACTCTAAAGCAGTAACATTTCATTTTTTACCAACTGACTCATGCTCTTGCCCTTGAAAACAGTCCCCAAAACATTCTAAAACTCCGAAAAACATTTTAAGGTAATTGTTTGGAGTTAGGTTGATTTTTTAAAAAAATCACAGCTTAACTTTAATTATTTTATTATCATAGCTTATATATATGAGTCTACTAACATGATTAGAAAAACAATATTAAGACTTTCAGAAATAAAGTTTTCACTTATCACATCATTAATTATAGCTATCAAGTCCATGAAAAGACTCAGCTCAATCCTACTAAACAGATGTCAGTATCAACGTCAATAATGCCAATGTTAGCCTTTTAGGAATAGAGCCCTTTCTTGGTAGTTTATTTCTCAAAAATCAAACAAAAAAATGAAAATGTCACAGTTTATATATCTGTAAACAGAATCTAGGACTATAAAACCAAGTTTTTACTATAATGACAGCTTACATTATTATCCTTAGAGTAATCTTCTGGCCCTATTTATTTTAAAAAATAATTTAAATAATATTATTTTGATAAAATAACTCAAATATTTAGAGATTAATGTTTTTATCTAAACTACCGAATATAATAATTTCCATGGTAAGAGTTTACTACACGATAGATTTAGATAGTTTAAGTAGATATGAAGTAACACAACATACCATCCCATATTGAAATTGTAGGTGTCTGTCCAATGTATACTATATCCACATAAAAGGACTGTGATTCTGATGCTTTCTGCACACTAATCCTCTGAAGAGAAAAATTAGTCCCAGTGTATTTGGTTTGTATAAGGTCCAGAAGGTCTATGCAAGTGTATGTCCAGCTGAAATATGGTTCATTAATTAGGTATACTGATCAGTTGTAAGGCTTAATGTAAACAAATACATGATAAAAAGCATTAAAATCTTAAAGAGTAAAAGGTGGTGTATTGTGTTTTTTTTCTCACAGGAAGACATCAAGCATACTTCATTAGCATGGATAAGCAACAGAAACTTACTTAACAAGGGATAGCAGACAGAAACTTACATTGCAGTAAAAGATTTAATGTTGCATCCAAATATATTTCTTTTACTTATAGCCTTGGCAGTAGCCACAGGAATGTAAAATATTCTGTAGCAACAGATAAAGAAATTAAGGAGCATGTGGTTTGGTGTAGGTCACATAGAACAAGACACTAGAATGAAGGAGGCTGGAAGGAAGGGGTAAAATGGGGGGAAATGGGAGACATCTGTAATACTATCAACAATAAAATATATATTTTTAAAAAATAAAAAGTAAATAAATGGGTGGTGCTCTAAATTTTAAAAAAAATTAAGTAAACTATTTTAGTAAAAAATGCCAGAGACATAAAAGTAAACTCAGTCTAGTATTAAGAAGCAAAACTAGATCTTGATACTACTTTCAAAGAACTCACAGCAGTTGCATTGTCTACTGTTCTAAGTGACCAAAAAAAAAAAAAAAAGTGCTGAGTTATTTATAGTCAGTACCTTCCAAGTGTGTAATTTAGATTCAGATTTTCTATTAAAAACTAACTGCATTAAAATCTCATAAATTGCAATTAAGCAATTCTGCTATGAGAGTTTACAAGAAAGAGATGAATGCTGCCATCCAAATAACTAAGCATAGTTTAATAGATATCTTTATATCAGCTGCTACTGTAGTTATTAACTGTCTATTTGTTTGGGCATTCTCTATTCTCATTTCCTTCATGGTTTGCAAATTCATCGTGGGATCCACCTGTGGTGCATCAAAGCTTAGAACTAGCTCAGATTTAGAAAATTATATGCAGAACTACATGAAGTCCTTTAAATTAATAAAAGTACTTAGGTCCTCTAAGTAGAATTCTACAAATTCTATGATTCCAAAGTTTTAAAAACTACTTAGAAAATTTGGTATACTTAACAGTTTACCATTGTTTCATTATTTAAAGCAGGGGTCCTCAAATTTTTTAAACAGGGGACCAGTTCACTGTCCCTCAGACCGACTACTTAGAAAATTTGGTATACTTAACAGTTTATCATTGTTTCATTATTTAAAGGGTCATGGGTGATGGTGCCACTAGACCAATTTTTATTTTCATAATCAATAGATTTAATTTTGGCACAACATATCTGTTAGAAAGGGCCTATAGAAGACAAGAAAATTGCAGTTAGACCCATGGTGTACATGATTTCTCAAAAATAATAAACAAACAAACAAATAAGAAATGGGCTTATCTTCATAGTTTATACACTGTAATATCATTTAAGTTTTCAAATTCATAATGTAACTTACTTGTTTCCATAAGCAAAACTATATGTAAATTGTACATCAATGCTTCTAGTAATCTTGCTTTTGTCTTGGTATTGAAATTTTAGACCAATATAATTTGCCAGGAATCCTTTGTATGCTAAACATAACTACATAGAAAATAAGAAAAAATATAAGTAAAAATATCTTATCATTAAATTGTTTTGTAGCAATTCAAATTAAGTCAATCCAATAAATATATATTGAGCATTTTCCATAAAAATTTATCAGAAGGAAAAATTAATTTCAGCCAATTAGGTGCAGAAGAATTAGGGAAGATTTTCAGAAAAGGAAATGAAGTTAAAATGACCTTACAATTAATGAATAATTCTTTATATATATCTTTAGATATGGTTTCCTTAAAAAAAAAAAAGGAACTAATTCATGCCTTATAGTCGCCGAGCTACATAAGAATTAGGTCCCGCTCTAACTGAACTCTTCAGTGAATTTAAAAGACAGAAGGGAGAGAAACATTTGGATAGATTGAAGTGTGAATGCAACTGAGCATTTAGAGATGAAGTTGTCGCTGCAAAATAGTGATTAAATACCAGTTTTAATGGTCTACAAAACCTTAAAAATGCCAAATATATTTAGAACTACCAACTTCAGAACATGTGCTACAATTTGAGAATTTTGAAACAAGAGAAAGGGTAAATCTATAATTGCTAGACTTTAATACCTATCCTAAAATTGCCATTTCTTCTTCTCAGAATCTTCTTTTACTTTTCCCTGATTAGATACCCAAGATCACTCTATGATGCCTATTCATTTTTGTTTCTTCTTAATTAATGAAGGAATATTGAAAATAACATATATCTATTTGTTTTAGTACTTAAATGAGTGCAAATAATTTTTTAAAAATATGAGATAAAGAAGAATACGTGTGTGTGGTACTGCATATTATTTTAATTTCTTGTTTTGAGAATCACAAGAAGAGGAAATCACAAGCGCCCAGAGAGTGAACCACAGAGCCTGTCCAATGTGACATGATTTCACATGACAAGCACTTTTCCTTGTCTTAAAATTTCATGAAATTTTATTACCAAGGGATTTTACAAATTTAATTAGCATCTCATTTTGTTGAGCTTACCTGATTATAAGGAAATAATGAAATGTCTCCATATGGTAGTCTGTTTGGTTTAACATCTGCTGAGTCGAAAAGAACAGCTGGGTTTTTCAGGGAATAACGACCACAGTAAGCATCAGTTTCAGCTGTCTTCTGCCCTCTATTAATGTGATCCTGCAGAAACAATAATATTTCAAATGAAAACATGATTGATTGTCCTGCTTTGTTCCCCAGCATCTCCACCCAAGTCCTTCAAGTTCCGACTCAGATCCCATTGCTTCCCAAATTACTGTAACTTGAAATGTTCTCTCTTTGAAATTCTAAAGCCCTCACCCTATATCGCTCATTTGGACCCATAATCACATAATCCCTTGTAACTATATTTCCCAAATCCTATCTTTCCCCCACATTATGAACTCCTTAATGATATGTAATCCTTCCTTCCACAAATGTTTATTCGGTGTTCACTGTGAGCCAGGTCTTTGTTTGTTTATGAATTTGTTTGTTTTTTGTTTAATCTTCGGGGTTCCAGTGGGGAACACTATCCCTAAACACAGAAGCCTATAACACAGTGGTTCTCAACCTGTGGGTCACGACCCCTTTGGGGGTCGAACGACCCTTTCACAGGGGTCGCCTAAGACCATCGGAAAACACATATATAATTACATATTGTTTTGGTGATTAATCACTATGCTTTAATTATGTTCAATTTGTAACAATGAAATTGGGGGTCACCACAACATGAGGAACTGTATTAAAGGGTCGGGGCATTAGGAAGGTTGAGAACCACTGCTATAACAGTTTGTAAGAAGGAACCAAGGATTATAAAACCAAGGCTGAAGGGAGGCCTCTAACTCACATAAAAGCATCAAGAAAAATGATAGAGAAAGTGGCACATGATGTGTCTTTAAAGATAAAAAGGAGTTATTTAAAAGGAAAAGGGGCCAAGGAGCTTCAGAAAAGGGTAAAATACATGCAAAAAGCAGGGGTGTTAGAAAGCAGTGCTGTGAAATTCAAATTGTCAAGGTAGGGTAGAGCAAAGAATGTGTGTTGTGATGAATGAAAGATGAAGGAAATAAGTGCAATGTTAATTACTTGTGTAATTCCCATGGCTGCAAGTACTGCGTCCAGGAGAGGAGAACCCAAATACATGTAGATTTGTTAAATTAAGTTGATAACATAGCCCACTGAGTGGATTTTCCCTTTTTTCCCCACTAATAAATCTCTTCATATAGGCATCCCATGCTATATATTTTAACAACTCACTTACTTCGAGGGTATTGATCTGAATTGAATAACTAGCATATTTCTTATGTTGATAATATTTGAAAGTGGTGACTATCTGGCTTCCTCAAGTCTTCAAAATAAGAATTGGGCAAGTAGTGTATTTTAAATTTTTTTTACTGTGTATCAAAGAAAAATCTTTACATCTCACCAAGAAATAAGTAATCATTAGGCATTGTACTAATAGAGCAGAGAGTGATATCAAAAAGCAAGGGAAGTGATGTGCTATGCACTGATGCCCTGCTACAAACTATATCCTCTGAAGCCAATGAGGAAAAGGGATATACTCTGCATCCAAGTGAAGGAAACAATCAAAAACTCTATCAATCTTATATTTGCCTACATCCTATTGTTCAAGAAAATTCATGGGCAGTGGAAATACTGCTTTCACAAATGAATTGTTTTATAATGCAAAGAGATGTTAGGACAGACCTTACCACAACATTATATTTGTAATTTGACTTTGAGTGATAGGGAATTAATGCTAGTTCAAAAAAGAAATGACAAAATTCCAGACATTTACATGAATTCTTATTTGGTCAGTTTCACAATTCATTCAACATTCCGTACCATGTTAAAATCAGTTTCATAATCTCTGAAGTATTTCACAACAAATCCTTCTTCAAAATCTGCAATTTGCGGTGGACACTTAGCGCTAACCATCTCTTCCACTGCTGCCTGAAACTAAATTAACAAGCGGAACTTTAGTAACTTCTTTTTCATGAAGAGTTAGAACATTAGTAATTCTACTGCTAATTCTACTAATTAGTTACAACATATTCATATAATTCCCATATTTTAGTCATAATTACGAGATCATTAACTAAATAATTAAAATGTGATCATTTTAGTGTCCTATGTCTTTTTCAAGAGTTCTAATTTAGAATGGCAATAGCCACATCTAATTGGCTAATATTAGCTTACTTGGTTATTACTGAGGTAGACATATTTGTTTAATAGTTTTTAAAAAGACAACAATGAGGCAAACCTAAATAAATTAGCACCCAATTTAACAGACTCCAAATGAATAGTTTTCCCAAATTAACTCAAAATTAACTAGGGGGGGGGAAACTGTATAATCTAATGCACTGTTTTTCAAAAGAAGAGATACAGATACTGAAAGCCTGTGATTAAGACTATGTAAAAAATAATAAATAATTCTGAATATACAGGAATCAGTTCACATTCATGAGGTCGCCTGTAATTTCCACATTGTTTCTTTGGCAATGCACAGATATAAATGATGTTCAGAACTAAGGACTTGGGATGACAGGTAATCTTTAATCTTCAAACAAATATTAACTTAAACTCATTGTACAGGTAATTGTCAAAATTCAGTAACTCACAATAAACATCCTCTCTTCACGAAAAGTTGCCCATATGGAGATACGTTGGATTCTGTTGGCACAGATCTAAGAAATGCCCTTTTGTTCCCTATCTTTGTGATATTTCCTCCCTTCTCTGCTCACTATTGGTTGCCTCCAATCCATCTTGCCAAGTAGCAGAGTGTATTTCTAGTACTTAAAGCGTGGTTGTTTTTTAATAGAAAGGTGATGCCTAAATGGTTTTATGTTTAAAATATTAACACAGAGCATACCTCAGCTTCTGCTGACCATGGGGTAAGAGGCTTAGAAGTGACTCCATCCCAATTCAGTGTGAATGTGTCCAAACTGGGTTTTCCTTTGGTTTGTTCTATAATATCCACTGTGACATTATATCCTTCAAATACTTCATAACCAAGCAGATCAAAGTCTCCTGCAATAAAGTACCAAACAGAATTTTCAGAAGTTAATTTTAAAAATATCAATACAGCCCAGCTAGTGTTGCTCAGTGGTTGAGTATTGACCCATGAACCAGGAGATCATGGTTCGATTCCCAATAGGTGGCAGGCTCAATCCTTAGTAGGGGACCTGCAGGAGGCAGCCGATCAATGATTCTCTCCCATCTTTGATGTTTCTATCTCTCAATCCTTCTCCCTTCCTCTCTGAAATCAATGAAAACAATTTTTTAAAAAATGTCAATAGTAGAACTCAAACTTTTACAAATTGGTTTTATTTGGAGTTCCAGTATCACAAAATAAAAATGAACAAGGAAGATGCAGGTCCTTCAGTCTGATCTATAAGTAAGTTCCTGGGAGAACAAGGATAACCATATTTTTGTGTGTATAGTGTTCTGACAATCTAACTTTGCGGGAATTTTTAGAACCTCAATTCTGGTTAAATGAAGTTCTTCAACCTCCATCCAACAACCAAATTAACAATTTCATAAAATGAGACAAATGTTGAAGTAACATTTTACGTACATGAATGGGGAAATAATGATTGCCTGAAGAAAAGTAAACTCACACATATTCAGGGGCCTATTTCCTGAGCTAGATATCCCAAACACGAATTTGTTGCTAGAATTGGTTGTAAGACTTGAAAATATGAAAGATTAATAAGTTAACAGCTATTACTTGAAAGAAAAAGCATAGAGAGATCAAATAATTTTGGAAAATGTTGCATTAAACATAGGTGAACTAGTGTTTTGTTTGTTCTCACAGCAAGATTCTTCAGGGATTTTAATATTTTAATATTTTTATAAACTCTGTCAATCTTTAAGGAGAAGCCGTGGTAAACAAATTCCCACCTGAATTTGACCACAGAATTCTTTCATCCTGCAAGATCTGGCCAGACCTGTATCTTCTAAGCAAAGTTAAATTTACATTTCATTTCCAGAATTAATATCTTCACTGATGTTTTGCTAATTTATAAAAGGCTATTATACTGATAATGTGTTTGTAGAATAGATAGTGTATTTCTCATGCATTAGAGTTGTACATTCCTTGAAATACAATAGGAATTTCAATTACAGTTAGAAAACAATTAACCATTTAATTTCTATTGTTTCTAAAATTGATCAAGGCTGTGAATCCAACTTTTTCCCTCTGTCATTTTGTGTCGCTTTTACCTTTTTCAGTGGAGTTGCACAGGATATAAATTTGTTTCCTAGAAAAAAACTTTAGAGACCTGAAAAATGAAATACATGCTTACCTCTAGTTGATATAAAGGTTACCGTGTAAACATAACTTTGGGGATTTTGTGTTCTTGTTACTTGAACTGTATCCGGTTTTAAAGACCAGAGGTCATTTAGGGCTGATTGCAGTAAGAAGTCAGAAGCATCAGCAGGTAGAAAGGCTTGGATGCATTTAGGAAAAATATGAAAAAGGAGAAGAGTTGAAATCTTTCTGCACCACCAACAATGATGTCGTATAGTTGTTTTTTTAAAAATCACTCATAGTCTGCACCATATGTCGTCACTTAATGAAACTGTGCTCTGAAATTGATTCAAGCTCATCAATATTGACTAATTAATTGGATTATGGTCTCTTGAGGATAGGGCTCATATTTTATTGTTTTAATATTCCCATAGCAATAAGCATTGTATTTGGCTTATTATATTTACTGACTGAAACAATTAACAGAAAGAGCAAAATTTATTTTCCACGGATTTATTACAAAATATAGAAATACGATGTTTTTATTAACAGATAATTAGGGTCTCATGGGTCTATCACTTAATTTGAGAAATTGAAAGCAATGTGTTGCTTCCCTGCAGTGATGAATTTAATTTCTGTTAACTTACAGCTGTGAGTCACAGATATATAAAATCCTTGTGTGCACTTAGATGTGTATTTACCATGATCCTTATAGGAGACAATGATAGTATGTACCATATTTTAAGTATTTTTATATTTTTATTGATGCCATTTTCTATCCCAGTCTGAAGGCTTTTCTCTATATTTTTCTGCTTTTTTTGTCTAGCATGCTATTAAAACTGAATTTGACTACAGCAAATACCTCTCTATAATTACATGTAAACATGAAGAGAAAGAAAATCTCCCTTACTATTTATCACTTACCTGTTTTTTCCATGTTGTAAATTAATCTATATTGGTAAAGGGAGCAGGAACTGACTTCTATACATGGGCTGATTACCGTGATCCTCTGAACTTCCTCGATGGCATTAGTTGTTTCCCAGTTTTCCAATGTTATAACCTACTTCCCAATTAAAAAATATATTTACTATACAAAACATTTTTAAGATATAATAATTAAGCTATGCAATGCCTTTTTATTGCTCTACTTTGTTGCAAATGATAACATTTTAAATTTTACTTTATTTTATTTATTTATTTTTTGTTAATCCTCACCTAAGGATATTTTTTCTATTGCTTTTCAGAGAGAGAATGGGAGGGAAGAAGAGAGGAGGAAGAGAGAGAGAGAGAGAGAGAGAGAGAGAGAGATTGGCTGTTTCCAGCAGGATCCTCAACCAGGTACTTGTCCTTGACCGGGAATCAAACCCATGACCCTTTGGTGCTTGGGCCAACACTCTAACCATTCAGTCACACTGGCCAGGGCTTAACGTTTACATTTTATGAAGTAACAGCCTCTTTTAGTTTATAATACAGATACTCCAGGCCACAATTCAATAATTTTCCAAAACTGCTCCCCCCCCCAAAACAGTATCTTACTTAGTAAAAGGAATGACCAAATAGAGCTCCTGTCTGTGAACATTTTCTTTCTAGACAGTGGAGCTATAATCATAGCAAACCTGCACTTCCTGGACAATTGCTGACTGGGATTGAATAACTTGTTCTTCGTTGACTGCATCTTCTGTTTGTTGTTCAGTGTAGACATTTCCATACTGGTACAGTCCAACATCAACAAAAGCACTCAGTCTATACTCCTGTAGCAAGATTTCAATGTAATATCTGGAAAATAGAGTAACTAATAAAGATAACGTTTTCTCTTCAGAGCACTTGTCATGAGTTCTTTTGTTTAATGAATAAAATTTCAACACTATATAAAACATTTGCCTGCTCATTGATTTATATTGCAATATCCCTGATTTTAAATATTAAACTACTAAAAGCTTCATAGTAGTTTGCTAAAATGAAATGAATTGTGTAAGATATCTGCATTAGTAAAGAGTTGTTCCCATTCATACTAATTCACTCAGTTTTGTTAATAAATAATTATCAAAAAACATACTATTTCTTATCCTCAACTATCTTAAAACAAAATTACACTGTATCTTATAATACAAAGATCCTGGCATAAAGTACGGTGGACATGCAGAAGTTAAGCATTTTAGTGTGTATAAGCAAATGGCAGGCAGACACAGAGATATCATATATATTTATATATGCCTCAGGAAACCTTTACTAGTTAGATTGACTATGTCCCCCCACCCCCCAACAAGTCAGATGGGATTCACAACTTATATTTGGAATTCTTGATTGCTGAGGCTCCGTGCCCACCATTCAACAGCCTATCCAGGATAAGGCATTCATTGGCCAGCTGTTACAGGTGAGTGCAAAGCTGCTGCTTCCCTACCTGAGTCGCTATCAATGCTCTCATCTTTGGAGAGGACTGCTGGGCGTTCCTCTGATTTGCCTCAGTCATTATACAGATACTCTTATATATGGAGAATAAGTATCTACAGTTCATGGAAGACTGAATGAGGGGCATTTATCAGCTCTCATCTGTCTAGAATGATGGGGCTCTGGGTCACCCCCGTTATAGAACTGATATCGGAGGATTGCATCAGGCTCTTGGCTGCCCTGAGGACCTGTTTGCCAGCTCTACCAAATTGAGGCGGACAACACTAATGAGCAGGACTCAATGAAGAACCATTGAATTCTATATCCTCACCTGGCAGCTTAAAAATATTTATCAGGCACTAATCTGGATACTTTATAGACATTATTATATTGAATCTTCACAAAATCCTATAAAACATATATTATTCTTATTCTCTGTTCATATGATAACAGAGACTAAGAGAGGTTTAAAAATTGAAAGATTATTTAAAAATTAGTAATTGCGGTATGTTTCAAAGTAGAACAGGGTGACCAAAGAGACATGCACTTCACGATGAGGCTACATCATCTGAGTAGAATGAACTGGAGATATGAGCTACCTTTGGAAAGCCCTCAGGGACCTCTGTGCCATAAAGCAGCTAGCGTGGCCTCAATTTCAGAATTCACAGCCACCATGCTGAGCGCAGTGTGTAAATTCCAAGCTAATGTTGCAGGAGCACAGAGGCCAGGCAACAGATGTATTTAGAGTCGCTTTCAAGCGAGCCCTGTGTTCCTGCCAAGCAGGTAAATTGAACTCATTTTCCAAGGCCAAGGCAAAGCCTGCAGGTGAATTGACACTGAGGAGCAGCAGGGATTAATTAGGTAATCCATTTTCCCTGAAATGGTCCAGTGATCTTGGTTTAAAAAGGAAATGTCTAAGAATGTAAAGAAGTGAAGGTAGAAGGAGGAGGAGAAAAAGAATGGAATTGCTTTCCGCATATCACTGTGGCCAAGACCTCAGGGAGAACACTGTGTGATTGCTCCCAGGTACCAGTGATCCCTACCCTCTGTCCAGCTCCACCAGATCTTCATGGTGCTGCCTATGAGCCAAATCTCATCAATATCTAGAAGGGTGATATGGTAGAATAAATAAATAAAACTCCACCCATCAAGGAGTGAAATCTATTTTTTCATCCTTGAATCTACATTTGGCCATTTGCTTTGGCCGATGGGATACTAGGAAATGTGACACAGTCTTGAAAAGTAAATGTGCATTAGGAATTGCCCTCTTTCCTGCTGGGAAGCCATTCATCACTGTGACAAGTCTGGGCTATAATCTCCTGGAAGATTAGAGACCATGTGGAGTGGGACATCTGGGGTAACTAACTCCAAGTGAGTTAAGTGAAGCTCCAGATATGTAAGCGAAGCCATCCTATGCCATCAATCACCAACTAAAGCAGCCAGCACCAAAAGAACTGCCCAGCCAATCACAAAATTGGGTTGCTTCAAGCTACTAAAGTTTGGGGAGTGGTTTCTTATGCAGCAAATGCTAACAGATACAAGTGATAAACGGAAAATGATCTCAATGAATCTCTTGATGTTCTTCATGTAACTTAGCTATTTTAAATATATCATGTCTTTTACCTCCCTGTTTTCTAGGAATCTTGAATGATTTTTTTGAATGACATTATCTGCTATTTGAATAGTACCTTCATCTTCTCTCTGCACTTGACCTTTGAACACTGAGTGATATACTTAAGAACAGGCAGTGTATTTTGATATCCTTTGTATTAAATTTCCAATACCTGGCCCAGGATCTTGAATAAATGAGTGAATAACAAATATGTGTTAACTATGGCACCAATCATGTGGTTTTGTAATTTTTTCCTAGCTATATTCAAGAGCTCAGGTTTCTGTAGAAGCAGAGAAATTCGATGGCTGGATAGACTGAATGGTCTTAGTGAAAAAAATAAAAATGGAATTAAGTATATCTCACAAAGTTATAATTTCAGCAACAGGGATCATTTAGTTGTCAAATTTCCCTGATTATCGGAATGCCAATATACTTCGAATATAAAACGAAATTTATTAAAACTACAGAGGCTAACCAATTACAAATTAAGCCGGTAAACTAATATCACTTTCACCAATAAAAATAAATTGAAAATATATTTAGACATAAACTTATAATTTTTAAATACCACACAGTAATTCAAGGAAAAAACCTTACTCTTTTCCTTTCTGAAGATGAATGTCATTGGATCTTTGTGTTGGACTGGAAAAATAGCTGTTGGCATTGGAAGAATGATATGCAATCCTTATCTTATTCCAAAGGGAGAGGGGGAGGAAGAGACGGAGAGAGAGAATATTAGTAAACCTTTTCAGCACTTACTATTTATTACTTCTGTTAGTCTTTGCACTTTTATGACTAGAAAAATGTGAAGCTACTTTATATTTTTTTCTAAGATCTGTTACCCATGATTAAATGGAATTTAAATAATTACCAAAGCTCATTTCATTTCTTTTGCCCTAACATCAGCCCCACTATACCAAATATACTGCATAGACCACAGCTTTTCCACAATTAAAGCTACTTTTTCTAAGATCTGCTACCCATGATTAAATGGAATTTAAATAATTACCAAAGCTCATTTCATTTCTTTTGCCCTAACATCAGCCCCACTATACCAAATATACTGCATAGACCACAGCTTTTCCACAATTAAAACTGCAAGAGAAAATAGAAAGACATGCAGCAGGAGGACGGTTTTGATCGTCTAATAAAATGTTCTTTTGCTCTGAAGAGAACTTCAAGGGATTTAATCCAAATGAAATCATTAAAATATGTCTGAAAGATCACTAAGTGGGTCTGCATCCTAAAATGAGAAGGCTGTGGGTTCCCATTGGGAATGACTATACCATTTTTGGAGGAAGCATACTGGAGAGCTATGATAAAATTGGAATTCATATATCACAGGTAGCATATATATCATGTGAGCAGTTGGAGAGGTGATCTTTGCATATATATATATTGAGTCATAAAATGTTCTTTTGCCTTCATCTAATAGTTTCACATTTATGAAATTACCTTAGGGAGCAATCTAAAATACAGAATAATTTAATGACACATGTTTGATAAGATATTATTTGTGGTCATAAAAATCAAAAGTAAGGCACTTACCAGTATGGAGAGAGTAACCTAAGCTTAGTAAACCCATGCAATAACATACTATTCAGTCATTAAAATGATGTTATATAAATTATTTAATAACATGTTGACATACTAATGCATGACAAAAGAGGACTATGAAATTGGATGCACTATCCTATTTATGTAAAGAACAAAACAGAGATATAAAAAAATGACAAATTTAAATTTCACAACTGACTAAAAGTATGGCAAAATATTTTTTATTCTTTTCCAAAATTTTCTCTGTTATAGTTATAATCCCTTCATAATAAAAACAAATTTCAATTATAAAGGACTCATACGTGTTTTTCCCATGGAAGAGAAAATTTAGGTATGGGAGAGCATTTTATTTTAGATGATGGATTCTCTATAATAACTTTATAGGTAGTTCATAACACACATGTTAAAAATAGCCAAGAATCCAGACACATGAAAAAATATGCCATGAATTCTTTAATATAATTTATTGGTTTACAATAAATTATATAGATTACATATAAAGATTATCATATTGTTTTAATAATATCAAAGATTACCTTTGTCTCCCCTACCTTATCTTCTGGAAGCCCAGTCTGGCTGAAATAAATTGCGTAACGGTCATCACCTTTGATGTAGAATCTATAAACATCAGAATCCGGAGCCACCAAAAATCCACTGAAGCGTGCTACAAATGTGTCCTGCTCCATGGGCCAAATATAGGAAGCTGAATCTACCCAACTGGCACCCATGTAGCCTGGCGTCTTTTCATTGTATTCAAGTATCTCTTCAAGATGCACTGGCCGACTATTATTCCATACCTCAAGCTTAAGACCTCTCCCACCTGAACATAAAATAAAAGAAGCCTTTCATCAGAATTTTGATATGGTGTCTCAATGGCCTTCTATTTGGGTGTGGTTATAGATGTTCTATTTCAACTCATATTTTTACAACATGTGTGTAATTAAAACAGTTACCGCATGAGGATATAGTGCTATTAAGACCATCTGCAACTTATTATGACTTCACTTCTCTGCATCTCAGGCTCCACATATGTAAAATGGGAGTAATTCTACTATTTGTATGGATGCTGTGGGGATTAGATTATAAGAGATATGCAATATATTTTTACATATGTAATATATAAAACATTTGGTACTTATAAATGTTTTACGTGAGATAACAATATAGCCCGGCTGGTGTGGCTCAGTGATTGAGCATCCACCTGTGAACCAGGAGGTCACGGTTCAATTCCCAGTCAGGGCACATGCCTGGGTTGTGGGCTTGATCTCCATTGTGGGGCATGCAGGAGGCAGCCAATCAATGATTCTCTCTCATCACTGATGTTTCTATCTCTCTCTCTCCCTCTCCCTTTCTCTCTGAAATCAACAAAAATATATTAAAAAAGATAATATAATAATTACCTAAGATATGACTGATGCTGCTTTTATAGTTAAGTCTAAAAACTTGAAGGTTCAGACCATTTTGACCACAAGTCTTTGTTGCCTTTATTCTCTGTAACAAAACATTAATTAATGCCTTACAACCAAAGAACAGATACTGTTGGCTTTAAGATTTGTCAGAATTTTTTATTTTTCTTTTTTTTTAACATCACTTGTGCTCAAGGATTTCATCTCCCCTTTTTGGACAGAACCAGAGAGAAAATTCTCCTTAGGGTGTATCTACATTTGCCATAAACCTTATGATTAAGTTTTTTTCTCACCAAAAAATAAGTCATTGAACTCTTTCTATTTCTTTCTTCCTACACAACAACAATAGGGCTTCTGACTTCCTCCATCAGCCTCGAGCTTGTGTGGAGTGTCTGGATGTGAAAAATAATGGCTACTCCTCTTTTACTGAGTTTATTTAGAGAAAAGCTTAGGACTTGATAATTTAATAATTACCTAAGATATGACTGATGCTGCTTTTATAGTTAAGTCTAAAAACTTGAAGGTTCAGACCATTTGACCACAAAGTCTTTGCCTTGATTATTCTCTGTAACAAAACATTAATTAATGCCTTACAACCAAAGAACAGATACTGTTGGCTTTAAGATTTGTCAGAATTTTTTATTTTTCTTTTTTTTTAACATCACTTGTGCTCAAGGATTTCATCTCCCCTTTTTGGACAGAACCAGAGAGAAAATTCTCCTTAGGGTGTATCTACATTTGCCATAAACCTTATGATTAAGTTTTTTCTCACCAAAAAATAAGTCATTGAACTCTTTCTATTTCTTTCTTCCTACACAACAATAGGGCTCCTGACTTCCTCCAGCAGCCTCGAGCTTGTGTGGAGTGTCTGGATGTGGAAAATAATGGCTACTCCTCTTTTACTGAGTTTATTTAGAGAAAAGCTTAGGACTTCATTCTCTGATATATGTCATTTTCTTTGGCATTATCAATTATAAATATCAAAATTCTTTTCTTAAATTGGTCATTTTTCTAATATCATTCAAAGCAAGGAAATTTAAGAGGTTGGTAAACAGAATTTATTTGGCTTCAAATACCAACCACTGATGTAATTATGAACTGATTTCACTGTACACAGCCCACTCAAACACATGCCCAGAATTTCAGTGGAATGACAGCAGACATCAAGGCCATCAGCTGCATGCTCACTGGGTCACAGGTGAAAGTCTATAAAGAATTTTGAGTTCCATTTCTCTCATTCCGTTATTATACCTAAATCATTCTGGGCAAGGAAGGATTAAATTCTGCCATTTATTTTTTACTCAGGGAAAGGCATAATTTAAGTTACCATGTAGTCTGTACCAACATTTAGTAATCGTCATTTAAACTGAGATAAAGGCAGCAGGGTACTCTATCAAAAGAGATGGCTGTTTTTAGTAGGCTATCCAAGGGATTTAGGGCAGGTTTACTTCCACTGGTGCAGCCTTGATGTAGCTATTTTAATACAAATATTTCCTAATCCAGAAAGTGTAAAGAGAAAAACTAGGAAGAAATGTGTTATAATTCTAACTACAAATTCTAAAAAATGCAAATAATTTTTTTTTACTAATTGCTGTAGGCTGGCTATGTTCCTCTAAAGCTCATACACTGCAACTTAATGCCCAATGTAATGGTATTAGGAGGATCTGGTTTTGTCCAAAAAGGAGATGAAATCCTTGAGCAGGTCATGAGGGTGGAGCCCTCAAAAATGGGATTAGCGCCCTTCTAAAAGAGACCCCACTGAGCTCCCTAGCCCCGAGAAGGAGCCATCTATGAGCAAGCAGTTATCACCAGACGCCTAATCTGCCAGTACCATGATCTTGGACTTTTCGGCCCCCAGAACTATAGGAAATATATGTTTGTTGTTTATAAGCTACCTAGTCTTATGGCATTCTGTAATAGCAGACCAAATGGACTAAGACACTAATGATATACATTGATAATAGTCTTCCTAAGTAAGTACAGAAATGGCCATTTCTTCTGGTAACTTACCTGGATGTACAGTTCTGAGAATATCAGGCTTAGGGGATGTCTTGCAACATATAATATTTTCTGTGACATTCAAAACATCACAGGCTTGACCTACAGAGAAGCAAGGTACAGAGCTTCAGAATGCAAATACATCAGCCTGTCTTGAAGCACTTTTCCAATTAAAACAAAGTAGCACAAGCAAGAGGCAAAGCGTGGGGGCCTTCATTAAAGTTTATCACTCATTAGTTGTCATACTTTCACAAGGCAACATTGTCTTGGCAAAATATTACAAGTCTAAGTAAGAAAATTGCATAATCTCTGAAAAACAAAATTAAAAATTTGATAAAAATTATATCACAATATAATTCTATGTCCAAAGTGAAGCTTTATATTTTGATCCCTGAAGAAAATTTGCTGAATAAACCCATGATGTTCCGAATTTATAAAAACAGGTGACCTCAGTCCTCTTAGGTTAAAATAAAAAGTGCTTTGGTCCAAGTTCTTCAAATAAAAACAAAAGGGATAATAATTTGTAAATGGTATTTTCAAATCATTACTTTCGAGAAATTATTGAGGATTGAAAACCTCAAATCTGGTTATCACATTAACAGCAATGAAGTATCATAAAAATTACATGTTATATTTGCATATCAACTGTACAACATCGGATCATAAAACACATTATAAAAATTTAAAATAATGTCCCTGGTTTTAATATTCAAAACATATTTATATTGAAAAAATCAGAATAACATATATAAAGCTGTAAAATCTGTGGCCTAGATTTTAATATTTATACAAGTAACCAGAAAGAATTCATAGGGATAGGAACAATATTGTATAAATGTTAGAGGAGGTTCAAAATCTCAAATCTGGTTATCACATTAACAGCAAAGAAGTATCATAAAAATTGCATGTTATATTTGCATATCAACTGTATAACATCAGATCATAAAACACATTATAAAAATTTAAAATAATGTCCCTGGTTTTAATATTCAAAACATATTTATATTGAAAAAATCAGAATAACATATATAAAGCTGTAAAATCTGTGGCCTAGATTTTAATATTTATACAAGTAACCAGAAAGAATTCATAGGGATAGGAACAATATTGTATAAATGTTAGAGGAGGTTACTTTATATTGATTTTCTTCTTGAAATCACATTTTGGCTGGCTTCTGAGGAAATCCCTTCAAAATAGAAAATATTTGAGCAGAGGCCTGTATCCGAAAAAGTATGGGCCAGTAGCATAGGCAGACATCCTTTCTCCTGCTCATTGAGGTAGCTTAGGTCACTACAGCTGAGTGGGAAGATCCCCATTATTATATTCATCCTGACCTCCCTTTTGAGTTGCATAGCTCCCTACCTCTGAACAGATCAAGACTAGACACATACAAGTGAGGCATAACCAGAGAACCAACCCCTACATACATTAGGACCACTTACGTCAATTAATGCTCTTTCCAAGGCCAATATCATAGTAATTGCTGATGTTCAGACAAGGCACAGTATCTGAGAAGGGTCATGAGGAGAGTATCCGCAAATACTACTTTAAATTTATTCATATTTAGCCAACCCATTGAGAAGTAACAACAGTTTAAGAATGCCCTTAAGGATTCATTAAACAGAGGGTAGGTGTGTCTATAGAAAATACTACTTTAAATTTACTCATATTTAGCCAACCCATTGAGAAGTAACAACAGTTCAAGAATGACCTTTAAGGATTCATTAAACAGAGGGTAGGTGTGTCTATAAGTATGGCAAGGAATTTATGGATGGCAGCTTTAAATTTAAGATATTAATTGAGAAAGGACTCTTCTTACAAATTATTAAAGAAAAAGGCAGAATTGGTTCTTATAAAGTAACATAATAAAAGTGATGAAAAATACCTCCAACTAGAACTCTGACGGGGAAATCTGTTTGATCAAAGAACCGTCCGCTTATTGTTAGCGTGGTGCCACCTTGAATGCTTCCTTGTGAAGGTGAAATCATAGTGATCTCTGGGGAGGAGGAGGAGGAGAAGCACATGAACTAAAATGTCATAAACATTACACACAAACCCAAATGCTTGCTTTTAAATTTTTTTCTAAATTACCTGTAGCCATAGCACCTAGGATAGTGTAGGTTTTGCATCACCGAATAAATGAATTGGGTGTTTCGTTATTTTGTCTCTGATGCAGCCCTGAAGAGGACAATAAACATGGCCTTCATAGAGACCTGCATCTCCCGGGGACCAGGCTTTCGTGGAGACTGATGCTAAGGAGACACGGGTACTGGGAGGACCCAGGAAGTAAGGAAAACCTGGGCTGAGCATGGATGTTTAATTCCAAAAGAAAACAGGAAAATAGGAGAAGAGCCTCATCTTCCTATGCTCTTGAAGAATGAATTTTATATATTTTTTATGTAGTAATACATTAACTCTGATTGGAATCCTTGTGCTTTATATTGAAAAGTTTTAGCTATGTTGGTAAAAGAGCCCAGTGCATGACATATGGTAGATTCTTATTAAAATGTATTCTTGCCCTGCTGGTGTGACTCGGTGGTTGAGTGTCGACCTATGAAACAGGAGGTCACGGTTTGATTCCCACTCAGGGCACATGCCTGCGCTGTGGGCTCAGTCGCCAGTAAGGGGCTTGCAGAATGCAGCCCATCAATGTTTCTCTCTCATCATTGATGTTTCTATCTCTTTTTCCCTCTTCCTTCCTCTCTGAAGTCAATAAAAATATATTTTTAAAAATGTATTCTTATTAGTTCTATCAAAGTTCTATGTATCCGGCCCCATTCGCCACGGACTCCCTTCTCCGATTCAGTCTGCCTGCACCCAGGTGCCTTGAATAAATATCATTTTGATTACACTGAGCCTTGAGTCGGTTCTGTGTGACCCCAGCCCAACTCCGAACCTTTCAGTTTCACATACGAACTTCACATTAAATAAGTTTCCATAAAAATATAAAGCATATCATATTTGATTGACTCCAAGACACATTTCTTTCACATTGAACATCTATGAGACCTGAATATGCCAATTCCATCACTCCTGAGCTGGGAGTAAATTCTTTCAAGAAGACTTGCGTTTGCTTCTGACACTCTCCTAGGAATACTACCAACCTGAGACCTGTGTAAATTAAAATAAATTGTAATAGGCTTGAGGATTCTTTTACACACACTGAGAGCATATATCTAGCTTGTTGTTTAAACTGACAGTGGAATATTTTTTCCTCCTTCAAACAACAACTAAAGTGGAGACATGCAAGTTTCCCTTCTGTCTCTTTTGGTGCAAAGGGTTTATTTTCCAGGCCACCTTACAATAGGAATATAGTCTTCAGGGCCCTAGTTTAATGCCAGGGCTTCCTATTCGACTCAACTCCCTGTGTCAGGTGGTTTTACTTCATAAAAGTACATGAAATAAAATAGCACACCTTAAGTCAGTATTGCCTTTGATTTAATGAAATGAAATATATATATGTATATTTTTCTCTCGCTCTCTACACACACACACAAACACACACACACACACACATACACACTGAAAGATCACATACCTGCATATGTTTGAAACATTGAAATTTTATTCAGAGAGGAAACAAAATATGCCATTTTTTCTGGGAAACTCCTGTTTAAAAAAAAGTTCAAAAACTCTTACTTTAAATACAAACTTTATTTTAGGAAAATATTATTAGTAACTTATTAGTAATATAAATTGTGTTATAATTTGCAAATGAGCTGGATAGAAATATTGGGGAAGGTTAGGTTCTGTATCTTGATTTTGTTTTTGTTTACACAACTATAGAAGTATATGAATGCTACACAAATATCCTTTCGTCAGGGCTTACTGAACTGCATCCCTAAAATATGTGCATTTTATTATATGCAAATTATAACCCAATAAAGTAAAAATTTATATCACCATAAAAAACAGGAGGATTACCTTTTACAAAGGCTGGGCTCTTCGGCTGGCCCCCTCTCTCTCTTTCTCTTATAGCCAGCCCACTTAGTGTCACAATAACTAACATTATTAAACACTTATCAGGTATCAAGCTAAGAGATTTAAGCAGTTACGATTTTAAAAATATATTTTAATTTATTGAGCCATTTATTCTTTACATCAACCCCACAAGGTAGGCAAAACTCAGAGAATTTACTTGTCTTACACTAGCTCACAAAGAGAGTAAGTGGCAGGCAGAAAATTTGAACTCTGGTAGGTTGAGCCCAGAACCCTGGCTCCAGACCTACTAATTTGCATGAGAGTACAAATGGATGAGAGCAAGTTAACAACAGTCCACCAGAGGTAAGCATGAAGGTGTGGGAAGGAAAAGAATCTGATCCTAGAAATTAAATGTGGCTCCCTAATTACCCCAATTAAATTCATAATTAGAAAAGTTATGAAATTCAAATGTTAAGACTCACACCCATTCATCATAATTAACTAGAATACAATGAATTAAAATCTACTAGGATAACGCAAATCTTGTGGTTGAGACCAACATTGAACTCCTTTTAAATCTAACCCAGGCATTACAATGTGCATTTGAAAACTAAAGAGTCCCTGGAAGTATTTTATGCTGGTTATTTAAGAAATGCATGCTGGTTTTTACATTTTTATGTTATAAACCTTTCAGTTGATTTCCTAAACATCTGAAATGATGCTAGTTCCAACAATATTGCCTGCGGGCAGATCCAGCATCAGAAAAATTAACTCTGCTTAAGTTGGTGGGGAAATTGCCTCCTGATATAAAATTGAAATGTAATTTATTTGGTATGACACCGAGGTGATTTTCAGTAATTTACTGATAATGACTAGGCATTTCTCAATTAAGGCAGCCTCATCTGAACCTTATCAGTTTGGAACAGCTGTTGTTTGAACTTGGTTAACAGAGGAAAGAGAGTTGGCTATTAAAAGAAATACAGAATGGTGGCCCCAGTGGCCTTTAATTAGATCATCTGGTATTCAGAAATGCCCCTGAAAATTTGTAAAACATGTATTTTATGATTTATAAAATTTTTTAGCATTAAAAATGCCATATAATCTTAAAAATAGGTTTTCATGTAGTAAATGTCATATTTTTAACAGTTATCTTAAATTTCTAAGATTACTTTATATAGAAACATAATTTCATCAATTCTGAGAAGATATAAAAAGACAGCAATTTGCTTTAAAAAATTATGTCAAGATCACAGAATCAACCATTTTATGCGATATTTCCCTAAATTATGTGAAAATTTGCTGGCTTTGTTAAATTGAAATTTTGGGGGCATGTTAATGCAGCATATTGATTTATGTATACTTATCAATCACATTCAATCTTGATCACTCAAACCTTCTATTTTTGGCTAATTATTTCTCTGAGAGACATATGATGGATTTGGCAATTAATACCTTTCAAAGTCTCAGAAATAAGAATTCACTTTTCTCATGTGAAGATGACATTGAGAGCTTAAAAGAACCATATATAGTTCAAGAAATCATTTAAAACTCAATAATTATTGCTCCTAACATGGCTTTCTCACATTTTCAATAAAATCCTATTATCCTGTTTTATCAAGCTTATGTAAATATGTCATGTCCTTGAAGAAAATGACAGTTAACTCATGGGACACTAAGTTATTTGCCCCCTGTAAATCACAAAGGTAAATCTTAGTACCATTTACATATCATCCACTCTGGTCTGTCCTTGAATTTACAACATTCTTCATGGTTTTTGGTCCAGTCTATATTGGTCTATAATACAGTGTCCAGCACAGGCATCACTGTGTTATGAACCTATTGCCTCAAGATGTCTAGAACTAGATGATCTCAAAATACTATGATAATAGTTCTGGTCTCACCAACTCAACTGCAGTTCCAGGCATGAGGGAACAAATATCCTCTTCCAGTCTGTGAGCATACGCCAGGTATAACATCTACTTTGGTTGTAATACTGCCATCTTTCAAACTTCTAATCATTGAGTCTCACATCAGAGACAACAATGAAATCAACAGACCTATCTTGTTATTGATCTAATACATCTGTATTAGTATTTGATGGATAAGTAATGTGATTTATGTACATATCTGCTAACTGGCTCATTTTTTCAATGGAAGACGCTATGACATTTTGAGCAGAACAATTCATTTAGGTTTGGCACATCCTGGTCCTGCCCACCAAAGGCCATTAGCATGGCCCAGTTTCTGTGTCAGTCAACAAATATCTCCACACATTTGCAAATGCACCCAGGAATAGGGTGATCCTGCCATGGTAGAGAACTATGAGTGAAAGGAAGTTAGAGACACCTAAAATGTTAATTTGTGGGAAGAAAATGATTAATTTTTTAATCTCTGGATCTATAGCACAAAGTAAATATACTCTTTTATTTACCCAGTTTAATCAATTATGAAAATTATTACTTACAAAATGACCTACCTTCCGTAATCACTATCCAAGATGAAACTGACATTGTGATGACCTGGAATTAATTAAAATGCACAATCAATTAAACTCCCAATCATAGGAGAACAATAACTATATATTATAAAGCTGACTTGAAAGCGACTAAATTTAAAATTAAAACTGTAATTATTCAACCATCTATTAATCCTCAAAGGCAGGACAACAGAACTACCTTAAAGAAGCACCTACTATTTTAATATATACATAATATACAATATATGTAACCATATTGACCCCAAATTTATTCCATTCATTCAATAGCTATTTAATTGGGTCAGACATTCTGCCAGGGGTTGGGAGATGGAGGGTGAGCACACAGTTTGCTTTCTCCTAAAAGCATCTTAGCTAGTGAAGGATACAGCTGGTTGAGAGCAATGACACAATCAGACAACTATAAATTATGAAAAAGGTATCAAGAAAAAGGAGTGTGAACTCTGAGAATGTAAGGCAGGGGATCAGGGAAGGCTTTTTATTTATTTTTTAAGACAAGACATTTTACTGGTATCTGAAACTAGAGCCCTGGTGCACGAATTCATGCACAGGTGGGTTCCCTAGGCCTGGTTGGCGATTGAGGCCTATCGGGGGGCCACCCAGCTGAGGGGAGGAACCCTGGGAGTTTGGCCAGCCTGGGGGAGAGGGGCACAGGAGGTTGGCCGGCCAGGGGGAGGGACCGTGGGAGTTTGGCTGGCTGCAGGGAGGGACCAGGGGAGGTTGGCCAGCCACGGGAGGTTGGCTGTGGGAGCACACTGACCACTAGGAGGCAGCTCCTATGTTGAGCATCTGCCCCCTGCAGATCAGTGCACATCATAGCAACCGGTCAACTGGATGTTCCACGAGAGGGGCCACGGAGGTTGGCTGTGGGAGCGCACTGACCACCAGGGGGCAGCTCCTGCGATGAGCATCTGGCCCCTGGTGGTCAGTTCGCATCATAGTGACTGGTTGACCATCATTCTGGTCATTTGGTTGTAATGGTCACTTAGGCTTTTATATATAGATTCTCAGGATGGGAAGCTTACAAAGGCCCTGAGACAGAAGGACCTGAAGCTCATTCAAAGACTAAGAGGTATACGGATATGGAGTACATAGAGTACGGGGTAAAAACAGAGTGAAATGGGTAATTTGCCAAGCAACCTTCTGGATGACAGAAGAAGAGAAAAAGAAATGTGAAGAAGCTTACCTTAAATGTAAACCTTAGGAAAAAGGGAATTTATTTCAGACATGCTTACAGGAAACTGAAAAGAAGCCAAGGAAATGCTAGCATTTCATAAAGAGCTGATGTTACAGGAGAATACAAAACAAGGAAACAGGCATTTCTGAAATATGAAGAATGATGATCAGCATTTACCAATGTAAGTTCCAGTCGTCTTACAAATCATAGAACCCATGTCTCCACTTGGATGATCTAGTTTTAAACCATACCTAGTAAAATATATATGTTAATTTCAAAGCTTACATTGACACTAAAATTTTAAAATACTGTGTCTCCCTCAAAAACATCTTATGAATTTCATAATAAGTATCTGGATAGAAACTATTGCTACAAAAATAATTTCTGTGAAATTAAAATATTGCCCAGCTTTGGTTGAAGATATTTGAATAAGACTTCATTGAACAATGAAATTTGTGTAATTAATTTGACTATCCCTATGATATTCCTCTTAAAGTCTAAAATATTACCAAGTGAAACAATTATTTGATAAAATATATTTCTCAGAACATCTTTCTCATAATAATCTAAATAAAAGTCAATATCTTACTATACTGGAGACAATGGGAGATATCAGGTAATATCTAAGTTTATAAATTCTTGCTAATTTACTATAAAATTTATAAGTTATATTGTTTTATAAAGCATTCAGATAAGTGATATTGCTAGAATTTACTCTTTAAACTTTGTATGTTTATATCTACTATTTATTTTTCTAAAGAAAATTATTTGAATTACTTACAAATCATCAGACTGTGGTATAAGAAGCTCACAGGGCATTCCTCCAATATACACTCTGTATAAATATTTTATTAGAAAAGAACAAGTTATGTTTAATAAATTGTTTCAAAATGCTCTCCTCCCACCAACTCAATGCCACCTTGTATTTTTTCTATCACTCATTATCCATCAGTTAGTCATTCAACAAACATCCACTGAACACCTCTTATGTTGCAGTCCTTGCTCTAGGTACTGGAACACATCAGCAAAAAACAAAACAAAACAAAAAACAAAGATCCCTGCCCTTGTGGGACTGACATTCTAACTGGGGAGACTGATCATAAATATGACAATCAGAACATATTTGGTGTGTTAGCAAGTGATAAGCACTATGGGAATACAAAACATAGAAACAGATAATGGGAACTCTTCCATCTGAGGTTCAATGAAACATAATTTTGCAGTAAGTTTCATACTATAGGAATTAAAGAAGATCCATAACAGAGTAATCAGGATGAAAAGAATATCTAACAGCATCAGTAAGGTTGAAATGGGAATAAGAGACTGAGAAGGGGCAGGGTAAGGCTGGAGAGAGAGAACAACTGTCTTTGCATTTCTGCAGCTGATAAAGTCAAGCAATTGCTTTATGGCTGATAGAACCTGATGCTATTGGAGGCCTGCAGGTTACTGACTACTATTGTATTTTTGGCATCATCATAATAAACCTCCCAGCTTCTGTAACAGCAAATCCCAGACTTAAAATAAGGCCAGGCATAAACCTGAACTTAAAATAGAAGAACTTCTGTTTGTAGAGAATTTTCAACATTTCAAAAAATGTATGCATGCATATAAGCATAACCAATGGACACAAGACACTGGGGGGCATGGGAGGCTAGGGGAAGGTCAAGGAGAGAATAAAAAAGGAGACATATATAATACTCTTTGTAATACTTTAAGCAATAAAACAATTAAAAATGTATCAAGAACTTCTGTTTGTAGAGAATTTTGAACATTTCAAAAAAATGTATCTTTATCGTTAAAAATACTACAGATGTCCCCTTTTTGAACTTTTTAATATACTTTTACCTACAAATCCTTTCATTTGGTGAGTACATTAGGTTTATAAAGAAAGTAACCTAAATTATTGTACCCATTATAGATTTATGGATTCACATCCTCCCTCTAATCCCCTGCCTCAATGCACCTAAATAATAATTTTGGCAAACACTTATAGGCACTTACCATGTTTAATCCTTGCAACCTTTTACAAACTGGTAACCATTATCCTGTCACTATATAGATGAAGAGACTGAGACAGGAGGGTTAAGTAGCTTGCCTAAGCCTGCGACCAGTAAGGGTAAAGCAAAAATCTAAACCCAGACAGTCAGCTCCCTGTTTGCTCTTAACCACACCCAGTAATTCCCACACTGGTCTGGGTTTGCCTGTCTATGATAATACTCATCTGATCTTTTGGATCTAAATCTCCTTGGTAGTCACTAGCTCATTGTAGTCATTTGCATGTCCTCTATAATTTGTACCTGGTCTGGATTTGGAGATTTGGCCAAATTGACAAGACTTGTGAGTAGCAGACGCAGCTTGAGCACTGGGATGTCCTTCCTTCCTGCCCAGTATGCAGTCCACTGCTCCGTGCTAATAGAATTCTGGCACAGTGAAATGCCTCGGACCCTACTGTCACAATTAATGTGGTGGAAATGACATAAATGCAGGTCTAAGGTCTCCTCTCCTCCTATGAATAGGGGTGTGAAATTCTTTCTGTGTTTATTTATACATGGTACTTCAGGGTTTCCAGAGTGTGAGGGCTGGGTAGCCTGACCTCTGAGGTCCTTGCTGACTGTAATTCTGTGATTTTATGACCTAATTTCCATCCATTCCTTTGTAATTAAACAGAAGTAACTTCAGCTACAGTCAGGGGGAGAAAAGGAATCTCTTATAGAAAGTTAAACTTCCTATTTCTTGGCAGTATTATGGAAAAGGATGATTTAGAAAATCCCATCTAAGAATTAGAAATCATTCATAACACTCAGTTATACAGTAGCAAACAAGATCTGTATTTATGCTAAGCTGTCCATATTTTCTTATATATAAGGATCAATATGAACATTTCCAGATTATAGATTCATGCAAAGGTTGTTTGAGAGTTATGCCTCATAAAATGCCAGATAAATCAACTTGATTTCATTTAGTAAATAAAACCTTTTGAATTGCATGTTTTACAAAATTATATGTGCAAATGTACATGTCTGTGTGCTGTCTAAATTGTTTAATTTATCCATTTGTCCACTTTGTATATGTATTCAACAAGCAGAAGCACTTGAAAGCCCTGGTACTGATTCTGTACTTGCTTCGACAGGAAATGAACAGTCTTTCAGTCTTGTAAGGCAGGACTGAGATAACCCACCTATGCTACAGGATGAGAACTCTAGTCAAAATGCTAGTTTCCAGTCCAAAATGTAGACAATATGACCATCTGGTCCACAGTTGGTAAGTGGAGGAACCAGAATTCAAATTCAAGCTTGTTAATAAGTTATTGATGGTTTCTAGCTTTAGCACTCTTCTGTACACCATGGCAAATTGTATGTCAGCAGACTTGCAGTCTCTTCCTGACCTTGACTAAACTTTGGACCTTTAGGATTCTTGGGGGGTTTTTGTTTTCATTTTTTATGTGTGCAAAAAGAGGCGGTTAAATTAAGTAACAAAATTCCCTAGTAATAAAGTTCTGTGACTTTAACTCAATTGCTCTGGCACTTGCCTCCAAGTGCCTTTTATTACTAAAATCCATCACAGAAAAAGAATGAAGTCTCCATGTCAATGCATCATCCAACAGTTTATTTTTCTTCCTATAATATGGCTGACAAAACACTGGTTAATTCCATTGTAGTGGTTTTTAATGTAATTTGACCCCTTATTTCTGGAATATCATCTTGGGTTTATAACTTATAAGAATATGTTCCCACATCAATAATTTACCTCAAAATCCTAACATTTTTCCCATTTGAGCTTAGTGCAGTATTACTTCCATAGACATCAGTGGAGATTCTGCCTTGGATTGTTATTAGTGTGCCTAAAAACAAACAAAAAATTCTGTAAGAAAATCTACCCATAGGCCCACACACTTACTACCAAAACACTAGCAGGTCTTTCAAGAAAATGGGCATCCAAATACTTATAACTTATGCTCACCAGTACAGCTTAGCATTGTTCTAAAACAATAGATACAATAAAACATTAATGAGTACCTATAGTATTAAGGAAGTATCTACAAATATTTATAGATTAAAGAGGTGCTTCCTGACAGAATGAATTATTCAATAAATATCACTGAAGTCATGGGTGACTTAACTGGAAAAAAGTAAATGAGTCCCTACTTTATACTAAAGAATAAAATCAACCCTAGGTGAAATAAGAATTAAATAAAAAAATAACACCATAAAACTCTTGAAAAGTAGGTGAAAATTTATGTAATATTTATATAATTGGGATTTGGGAATCTTCTACAGCATAAAAACTAAGAAGAAATAACACAGGTTAAGATTTACAGATTCGATAATAAAAATTAAAAGCAACTGAATGACAGAAAAACTGCTAATCAATTTTAAAAGCAAATGATAAATTAAAAAATATTCCCTACACATATGACATATAAATGGTTAATATCTTTAAAATATAAATAATTCTCATAATCTAATCTAAAATGCTGACTAGATTTAATTTAAACTAAGGAGAAAAACAGATAATTTATAAAAGAAAAAATATAAGTAGTCAGCAAATATAAGTAAATTTAATTACATAAATTAAAAAATCAGAAATGTTTTTTAAAATTTACATTTTTCATATAAATACTTGAAAATTTGTACATAGAATTGTCAAGGTTACAGAAAAAGGCATTCTCATATATTCCTATTGGAGTTATAAACTGGTACAACTATAGTTATTATAATGAACATTGAAAGTCAGTTAAATGTCCAATAGGAGGAAAGTTAAATACATTATATAGATTCTTATGTAGACATTGAAAATCATTTTATAAAAAATATTGGCATTTATTGTATAATCAGAAAAATGCGTTTTATAATTTTTCTGATATAATAATTTTACATACTAAAAAGTAAATTAATTACCAAACCAAAAAGATATTTCAGCTGCCATATAACAGACCTGGAGTCCCAGATAAAGGTGTGATGCTCCTTATTGTTGGAGTTCTGAAACTTTTTGCCTGTAAAATAATACTGTCGTTAAGCAGTCTTATCTCTAATTTGTTCCTAGTTTTATGAAATACCTCTGCTTCTTACATTATTTCTATTTAAACAGTATCCATAAGATCACTATCAAAATATTCCTTGTTACATCTAAATAAAGTTTAGAATATTATTCTGATTATTCAAGATCTTTTCCTTATCCCCTAAAAATCCTCTCTCATTTCAAAATGTCTCTAGCTTGCAATTTTAAAATTCAAGCATCCTTCGGTTATCAGTGTAAGTCAAATCACAGTGATAAGACTCTCTGAGAAAGACTTTAGGAATTCAGTAGAATAACATTAAAGAAAGTCTACTTTGGATTAAGCCCAAGAAGAAAAACAACAATGCATATTTCAAAAAACATGAAGCAAAACTTGGGAAAAGTCCATCAAAGCGAACTTAAGATACTTTTTTGGAGCAGTGCAGGCATAAATCTTAAGAACTGTGATAGCAAATGGGAACTGGAAGAGAGAAGAATTCCAGGAGGCCACCGGTGTGATGGAAACTAATACTTTGTGACAGACAGAATAATGCCCCCCTGAAGATGTCCATGCCTCTAATCTACGAAACCTGTGAATATGTTAGGTTACATGGCAGATAGCACAGATGGAATTAAGGTTGCTAATGTGTTGATCTTAGAAGAGGGAGATGATTTGGGATTATCATAAATTATCTGTTTTTCTCCTTAGTTTAAATTAATATATGTAGGGAGATGATTTGCTAATGTGTTGATCTTAGAAGAGGGAGGTGATTTGGGATTATCACCCTCTGGGCTCCATGTAATCACAAGGTCCTTATAAATGGAAGAGGACGAGAGAATGGCCAGAGTCAGAGAAGAAGATGCAACAACGGAAGCAAGGTCAGAGTGAGGCAGTGTGATAAGAACCCAACCACCACTGCTGGCTCTGAAAGCAGAGGAAGGGACCACAAGCCAAAGAATGTGGGCAACCTCAGTCTAGAACAGTGACTTTCAACCGGTGAGCCGCAAGAGGCACGCTGGTGTGCTGCAAGAATTTTAAAAACATGCAATACCTGACTATTTAGTCAGGGGCACTGACCTCTTTTCCCTTTGATTGTCAAATGAAAAAAAAAAAATGACAGCAGCCAACACAACAATAGCCATCCTGTGTGAATGAGTCAAAATTATACCTATTTTTTGGTCAGATCAGCAAAAAAACGTATTTTTTGGCCTGCTGCAAAATTTTAGTAATTAGTTTATGTGTGCCATGAGGTGGAAAAGGTTGAACTGCATTGGTCTAGTAGAAGATGGAAAAAGCAAGGAAACAAATTCTCCCTTAGATCCTCCCAAAGAAATGCAGACCTCTTGACACCTTGATTTTAGCCCATTGAGACCTACAGATTTCTAACCTACAAAGTGGAAAAGTAATAAAGCTGTGTTGTTGTAAGTCATTAAGTTTGGGTAAATTTGTATGGCAGCAAATAGCAACTAACACACAACTGTTAGAGATATTCAAGCACATATACGAGGCAGGAGGGAATGATGATTGAGAATCCAGTTTTGGAGTCTGGCTGTCTAAATGAAAATCTGAGCTCTACCACTGGCACGCTGCATGACTACAGGTAAGTAAGGTAATTTCTCAGTATTATTATCCATAAAATAGTGATAATAATAATAGTATGCAGTTATAGGATTGTTGTGAGAGTAAAGAGAGAATACAGCCAATTACATATTAATTATTGCCAATTATTATCCAGGTAAACATATGCCAACTTCTTTTCCAAAAGCAAAATGAGAAATAATTACTGCAAAAGGGAAATATACTACAATGTGAAAAACAAAATTAATACCCAATAGGTAAAGAGCAGAGCTGATGGGCAAAATAGAGAATTATCTGGTGCTCGCTTCGGCAGCACATATATTAAAATTGGAACGATACAGAGAAGATTAGCATGGCCCCTGCCCAAGGATGACACGCAAATTCGTGAAGCGTTCCATACTTTAAAAAAAAAAAGAATTATCTGTAACTGAGAGATATACAAATCTAATTCTACACTTAAAAACAAATACAGTTAGTCCCCCTTTATCCACAATTTCAGTTATCCATGGGTCAACCAGGGTCCAAAAATATTACATAGACAATTCCAGAAATAAACAATTCATAGTTTCTAATTGTGTGCTGTTCTGACGATTGTGATGAAATCTCACAAGTCCCACTGCGTCCTCCTGAGACACGAATCATCCTTTGTCCAGCGTCTCCACGTTGTACATGCTCCCTGCCCATCAGTCACTTAGTAGCTGTCTTGGTTATGAGATTGACTGTCATGGTGTACAGTGCTTGTGTTCAAATAATTCTTATTTTGCTTAAAAATGGCCCCAAGCACAAGAGTAGTGAAGCTGCCCCTTTGGACATGCCAAAGAGAAACTGTAAAGTACTTCCTTTAGTGAAAAGGTGAAAGTTCTTGATTTAGTAAGGAAGTGAAAAAATGATAAGAAGACTTCAGCAAGGGATTCCCTGCATTGAGTGACATCAAGCCGTTTACTGCAAGTCAGGGATGGTTACACAGAGCCAGGAAGAGGTTAGGACTGAAAAATATAAAAATTATTGCATTTGCCAATGAAGAAGCTGCTGCCACATTTCTGGCAGAGTTGAGGAAGTTGATTGGGGATCAGTATTCTCTGCAGTTTCAAACATCCACTGGGGGTCTTGGAACTTATCCCCCGTGGGTAATGGGTGAACTACTGTAATGTAGAGGAAAACAAATGGACTAGAAATAGATTAAGAGCCCATCTACAGAAACACAGGACACCGAAGAAAACAGAAATAACACAGAAACTTGGGCAACATTTTTTTAGAAATCAAGTGTTTGGAGGTGGGGTGTTGTTGATGCAGAACGGGATGCGTGGATACAAAATAATACAAACAAAATAAGCTAACACAAAGTCAATTCTCAATAAATGTCAGTTGTCCCTCCATTCTCATTCAGGGACAACCTAAAGAATGCCCAGATCTGGCCCGGCTGGCGTGGCTCAGTGGTTGAGCATCGACCTATGAACCAGGAGGTCACTGTTGGTCAGGGCACATGCCCGGGTTGTGGGCTCAATCCCCAGTGGGGGGTGTGCTGGAGGCAGTCAATCAATGATTCTCTCTCATCACTGATGTTTCTATCTCTTTCTCCCTCTCCCTCTCTGAAATCAATAAAAATATATATTTTTTAAAAAGCCCAGATTTGTACTTAAAAGTAAAAGGACAGATTTTTAGACTAACAACAAAAGAGACAGATTTTCAAATGTGAGGTTAAGGATTTATTATTTCACACTTTCATGGTAAGGAAGAGAATGGCTTACTGGAAAAAGAAAAAAATATTATGTTTCTATTCAAAATGAAGGTTACTCCAATGAAAATAGAAAAAAGAAGAATCAAGCCGAAAACAAAAATAGAGAAAGAGAAAAAAAAAGTGTAAACAAGAAAATAACTTGGATGTCTAAAAGTTTAACCCATTAATAAAAGTAATTTTAAAAAGGGGAAACCTTTTAAAGAGATCAGAAGTAATAAAGGAGATTCTATTGCTATGGAAGATAATTAAAACTGGGTGAAATTATCCTTAGCTACATGCTCACATGTCTTTAAATGTGGACACAGATAACAATCTGTAAAATTAAAAATTAAAAGATAAAAACCCAGTTCCGCACGAAGGGAAGTGTAAGATCAATTATCCGAGAGTTAAAGACGAGCTCCCACATACGTAGAAGCTGCAAGCTCGGCTGTGGATGAGACCTCTGCAGGTATTATTTTCTGTAACAGGAACCCCATCCACACTGACTCGAACAGTGTAGGAATCTTCTGGCATTGCTCTGGAAGGCAAAGGAAGAACATGTAAGAAACGCAATGACCCTTTTACTGAACGTATAGTACTAGTGAAAAGACTACATGTCATTTTTGAAGGGGTGTCTACAATTTTAACTGGTGGACAGTTAAGTTCTACTTTACATTTTGAAAAGATGATTCCCTCCTGAATTCTGCACTGCAAGTTCTAAATTATGGGCCTCGAGCAAATGCTTATTCTAAGTGCATTGATGCTTATTGGAAAATAAATGCAATGACAGCAAATGTAATAATAATCATTAAAAATAGTCACATAGCTCTGGCCGGTTTGGCTCAGTGGATAGAGTGTCAGCCTGTGGACTGAAGGGACCCGGGTTCAACTCAGTGGATAGAGTGTCAGCCTGTGGACTGAAGGGTCCCGGGTTCAATTCCCAGTCAAGGGCACATGCCCAGGTTACAGGCTTGATTCCCAGTAGGAGGGGGCATGGAGGCAGCTGATCTGTGATTCTCCCTCATCATTGATGTTTCTCTCTCTCCCTCCCTCTCCCTTGCTCTCTGAAATCAATAAAAACATATTTTTTAAAAAGTCACATATCACCTTGCTTTGTTTAAAAAGAAGTTTTAATCAAGTTTCTCCTTAAGTGAGCTTTTGCTGCAAAAAAAAAAAAAAAATAGCCAACAAGCCTAAAGTAGATGGATTCCTCTGTAATATATGCTACATGTTACAATACTGAAAGTTACAGTTTAAAATGATTAAATTTTTTCACTAAATTACTAATAACAAACATTAATTTGGGCCAATAGTAAAAAACTTGAAATGTCACTATACAAAATATCGTCTTTAATCTTAATGGCTATGTCAAGATATTGAACAAAATTAATCAAACCTGACAGGAAAGCATAATTTTGATATTTTGAGGAGCATCATTACAATTTAATAGTAGCCATTTATCTTCTAAAAGAGATCAATAATGATAATAGCTCTAATAACCTGGACAAGAATATAGATTATATTTTATCATGCCCATATGTGGAAAGAGCATTATAATTGATTGTAATAAAGGTATAAAATCATTTAAAATCACAAAATCAAAAACAGCAGATAATCAGAATAAATATTATTTTAACAGCCAGAGTGATAAAACTATTAAAATACTAATATGCATAACTGTACTTCTGATATGATAAAAATGATGTTATTAAAGAAAGTTTAAAACATACCTAGTATAGCATGTAATGTGAGTTGAATGACTTGCATCTTTTTCTACATCACAAGAAATGGATCGAAAAGAAGAAACTAATTGTACAGTGTTCCCCAACTCAGCATCATCAACTCCATAGTTAAACTGGTTTGCTTGAGCAAAACCTGGGAAAGTAAAAACACTCAATTATTATTAATGGATTCTGTTTTTAGAGTGCTAACCATTGTCATTAAGTATTGAATTATTCAATAAATAATAGGGAATAGTACTGAATAAGCAGTTAGCTTATTTCATATTTATTCCTATGATTATAATCTTCTTTGGGAGCAGAAAAGTTAGACTTTAATCAATTTAAATCATAAAAGTAATTCTTGAGAACTGATTATTTGTCAGGTGCTATTAAATGTGGTGGAATCAAACAGCTTATATACCAGTAATAGGATAGGGAGGGGTGGAGCAAATAAACAAATATATTTTTTAAAGAATAGTTATCTTGATTTTAAGAGAGCAAGGAAGGGAGAAAAGCATTTATGTGAAAGCGAAACATCAATTGGCTACCTCCTGTACATCCCCTACTGAGATGGAGCATGCAACCTGGGCATGTGCCCCAACCAGAATCGAACCCTTTGGTGCCCAACCAACTGAGCCACACCAGCCAGGGCGACAAA